AAAAAAAAAAAAAAAAAAAAAAGAGCCATGTTAGGGGGCATGATGGCACTGTTACCCCCCTTCTTGTTACATTATATTAAAACATAAATAAAGGCTAACCCTACAAATAAAGCTCAAGTAAACTGGGTTTAAAGGGCAAGAGGGTGATCACCAACCCAAACAACTGCATACATATATATTAGAGTTAATCACCAAAATACAATAGTTTATAAACAAATTTACCAAAATACGGTATTTTTGAACTTATTTACCAAATTATAATACTTTTTAAAAACGAATTCAATAACTTTGTTTTTGTTAAAAAGCGGATTCAACAACCCAGTTTGTAGGGGAAAAAGATTGGGCAATGAGAAAAGCGTGTTTTGTAAACACGCTTTTCCCACAAAACTGGGCATGTCGCTGGATCAAAAACTAGAGAAAAATGAAACTTGGATGTGTCAAATTTGACTGCAAAGGTGGGTAATTTTCTATTTTTTCCTTTGTGATTCACTTCAATATATTTCTCTTCCTTTAGCTAGAAAAGTAGGAAGGTAGAATAGAAAAAGAGAATGATGATAGAGATCCACCATTGGAATTCTAGAAGCAGAGAGTCCAATTGAGTTCATCAATAGAGAGGTCGAGGAGATCAAGACAGTCAGAAATGGAATTGGAGAGCCGAAAATCACTAAATGCATATTGGTGAATTTGTAGACGACAGAGATGACTTGTCGGACTTCATCAATGGTGGACCTCACCGAACTTACGAACTTGGAAGCTGAAACCTTCAAACGTCTCAATCAGGATCTAATACAGCCTGATTTGCACAGCCCTTTATCAAGGCAGATTCAGCTGCAGGGATCATCTCAAGGTTGGTGAACAAGACTAGAAAAAGAAAGAAGAGGCAAAGGGTTTTCTGGCTAAACCCATTTATGGGGGTGTTGATGGATCAAATCATGGTTGGTTTTGAAAGATTTTGAGGGTTTTTAGAGAGGTTTTGGTAAAGAATAAGGAAAGAGGGAGATGACTTGGGAGTTATTGGCCCCGGAAGACTGTTGAATCAAAGCACCAAAAAGTGCGGAAGGTTTGTGAAGAAACTCTAGTTGATCACGTGGGGGTGTGTTTGGTTTGTGTTTTTAAATTGTTTTTTGTTTTCAAAATATAAAAATTTGTAAAATGTTGTTTGAACAGTAATTTTTAAAAATAATTTTTCAAAAAAAAATGAGAATTGAGAACAAAAACTAGAGAACATCATTTAGATGTTTTATGAGTTTTCAAGCTAAAATATAAAAAACAAGGAAAATAAGGAAAAAAATTTCACTCGTTAATGAGGTCTCCCCTTCGAATCTCATTAGCAGCAAAATTAGCCAGACTTTTTTTTTTTTGCCTTCCTCTCTCCCTAACGTTCTCTCTCTATAATGGTGTCTCTCCTTTGACTGACCTGCAAGATTCTTCAGCGAATCACCGGCATAGCTCCGGCAAATCACAGATCTGTGTAGCTCCGACAAATCACAAATCACAAATCAAAATTCTGGCAAATCACGTAGCCCATCTCTATTCTCTCTCTCTGCAATAGATTTGTATAGATCTATGTATATATATATATATATCTGTATTCAAATCTGTATATATACACAGATCTATGTGTGTATATATATGTGTGTGTGTGTGTGCGCGCTATGAGAAGATATTGTATGTATGTGTGTGTGTGTTATCTCTCTCTTGTGGATGTGTATGTTTGTGCTGTGTGAGAAGACAATGGAGAGAGATGCTGTGAGAAAATATGTACTCATGAGTGTGTGTGTGTATTTTACACTATTTGTAAATTATTGTTTAAACAGGTTTTACTATGTTTTATATTTTTTAACTATTTTCAAAACCATATAACTAAACAAGTTTTGTAATACAAAAATATCAAAAAATACTTTTTTAAAACTTTTCTCAAAAATTATTTTCGAATACTATTTTTAGAGATGCAAACAAGCAAGCTTGTGGTTACTAATCACGCTTTTTGGAAAAGTGTGGTTAGTAACCACACTTTTAATGTTTTTCAACTCATTATTTTAGATCTCGTTTTTTATTTAAAAACGGGATCATTGATCTCATTTTTTATTTAAAACAGAATTGATGAATCCACTTTTTATTAAAAGTGAAATTATTTACTCTGTTTTTAAAAAAGTGTTGTAGTTTAATAAATAAGTTTAAAAATGTGATATTTTAGTATATTTATTTATTTGTTTAAAAAAGATGATAGTTTTGTAAATAATTCTATATATTATGTCACTATATACGAGAGAGAGAGAGAGAGAGAGAGAGAGTGAGAGAGAGAGTGGTGTAGGCTAGCTAACATGATAAGGGACCCGAACAAAAAAAAAGTGGTAAGGAGAAATGAACAGTATGAACGTAGGTAAAGCTAGAAAGATATCAAAGTGGAAATTAATTAGGGGTTGCGTGGTACTAGAGAAACGGACCCCATTGTACCAGAGGGTCTAGCAGGGGAGAGGGTGACCCATTTCTTCAGTGGGTCCCTCTCCTTCTCTCTCTTTCTCCCTCTCTTATAAGTGTTGTATGAGTCATTCGGAAATGATGGGAAGCGCCTGGTTGATCATGGGTAGCTCTGAAGGTGCATTCCATATCCTTCCTTTTCTCTCTCTCTCTCCCTCCCTCCTTGACAAACTCCTCCTAAGTTTCTTTCTCAATTTTCCTTCAAAACCTTAAAATCCTCAGCCCCAAGGCCCCAACAGAACCACACTTCTCTCTCTCTCTCTCTGCCTGCTGAGCCCTGGTAACTGCTGCTAGCAACTTGTTTATTGAATTATTTTTTGATCAACTACGGGGTTTGATTGTCCGGACGAATTATCACCTGGGTCAGCTTTAACAATGAGTACTGAACCTCAGAATTCAGAAACTGAGAGCAGCTCCAACTCATCCTCGTCGTTTCCATCCTCACCTGGGTTGACTCAGTCACCTCCAAACTCAGTCTCAAAGTCACCAAACCAACCAAAATCAACAAACCCAGAAGCAAAAAAGCTCAAAAGAATCCGCGACAGTAACAAACACCCAGTTTATCGCGGTGTCCGAATGAGAAACTGGGGCAAATGGGTCTCTGAAATTCGTGAACCGCGCAAGAAATCTCGCATATGGCTCGGAACTTTCCCTACCCCAGAAATGGCTGCTAGAGCTCATGACGTAGCTGCATTGAGCATCAAGGGTAACTCAGCGATTCTAAACTTTCCTGAACTCGCCGGGTCTCTGCCTCGGCCTGTGACTCCCTCTCCTCGTGACGTTCAAGCCGCTGCGGCTAAAGCAGCTGCAATGGACAAATTTGACTCAGCATCACCGTCTTCGTCGTCGACTTCATCGTTGTCTTCTTCATTGTCATCATTGGTTTCTACCGGTGATCTGTCAACTTCTGATGAACTGAGTGAAATTGTTGAGTTGCCGAGTCTAGGGACGAGTTTTGACTCACTGGAGTTGCATAGTGAGTTTGTCTATGTTGATTCTGTCGATGGTTGGCTCTATCCTCCTCCATGGTTGAATAGTGTGGATGAAAGTGGGTATTTTTCAGATCAGATATCATTGCCGGAGAGCGCTGCTTCGAATAGTTTTGAATCTATGTTGTGGAATTACTAGTGCTGCATTTATGTGTGTTTCTTTTTTTATGTTTTCTTTTTAGCCCTCTTCTGTTTTTTCTTGAAGGGCTAAAACTCTCTCTCTCTCTCTCTCTCTCTGTAACTTTCAATGAGTTACTGTACAGTGTTCGGAGGGACAGTCACAGAGGAAATGTCATAAATAGCTTTCCATGGTTGCTGTATACACATTAAAGTCTATATGTGTGTGTGTGTGTGTGTGTTTCCGGTTGAGAGGGGAGGGACCAAATAAAACTTGAAGTTACAGTTTTTGCCTGATGTCGATGGAAGGTTACACCATAGTAAAGCCTCAAAGAACTGGCTTAAGAGAATTGCTTTTATGTGTAAATTAGAAAAGATATACTTCTATTTGTTTAGGTATATTGCTTTTTATTTTTCTTTTTTCATTCAACCGAAACACAATATCTGGAAAATTATCTTCTTACATTATTTTATTTCCATGATCATATGAATAACAAAACTCAATATTAACAGTTGATGATCAGTTTCAATATAAAATAGAAATATACTTTTTAATATTGTGATTGCATCCTAATCTTTCTAAGAAAAACACTCACAAACAAACAACAATACTGCAGGGACCTAATTTAAATGAGTAATGCTACACTGACTAAATTTTGGGACTAAATTTGAAACTCAAATGACATGATATTTGATTATTTGAAATTTTTATTGAGGTCCAAATGACATGACATCAATCAAAGAAGCCCAACTCAACTGTCATGTCATTTGAGTTCTAAATTTAGTTTCAAAATTTGATCAATCTAGCATTACTGAATTTAAATTAAGTCACTAATTAGAGGCCTAAGTCAATGCATTTGTTGGAGTAGTTGTGAGTTATAAAATTCCGAGGAAAGTACCGACTCAAAACAATTATTTCCTTTAGAATTCTGCAGCCTTCGAGCTATTTGCCTTTTATATAAGTTGCAAAGTTACAGTAAGTGATACCTATTGTATTTTGTAAGAGTATTACCCGATATGTATGTTTTTTGATAAATAGAATTTTTTTTTACTTTTCGGAAAAAAATACATTGAATTAGGTCTCTAAAATAGATTTAAATAGCTTTTTCCCAAAAAACAAATGCATATTTACCATGCTGATGCTCATGTACACTTTGACAAATCGTTGTGCAAATAATAAACCTCAACTGGGAATGGTTCACACACACACCCAAAACTATCCGATGTAAGTTATAAGAATCTATGACACTTCTAATTTTAAGTAAAAGTATTGTAGTGTTCTCTAGTCAAAACTGGGAATGGCTCCTGCACTGCTCAAAACCCTTGTCTCCATTGTCTTTGACTATTTGGTTTATTTTTTTTGAACTGGTCTCCATTTTTTTTTTTTTTTGACTGTTTGGGTATAGGTTTTGCTTTTTTGGCAAATAGCTTATTGTGGAAGCTGGAGAGAGAGAGTGACAGTGACAAATTCCCTCGTAAGAGTAGCAGTATCAATCTAGTTTTTCTCGCACCGCTTAGCAATATGTTAAATTGTTGTGAGCAGAGATGACTGACCAGTTCACTTGGATTTTTTTTGCCCCTTTTGGAGATTTGAGGAGTGGTGATGGGCAAGCCTAGGATGAGTATTTTTCCTCTCTAGGAGGGGGCATTAGGAATGAGACATTACGAAAAATCTCCTTTACATTGGTAAGGATGAAGGCATTTTTTAAGAAAGCACAAATGTCGACAAACCTAGCTAAGCTCTCTCCTTTGTGTTTGTGTACAATTATATAAATATATGGAGAAAAGTCTACGATACTGAAAATATTTTTTTCTTTGTATTGTACCACTATTACAAATTTTGCAGTTCATTTTTACAATTTACAAAGATCATTTACGGTTTTTGAAAGTCATTTATAACTTTTGAAAATCATTTATAACTTTTGAGAATCATTTATAATTTTCGAGGAATTTTTAGGGTCGAATCTATATGACCCACAAAAATTGTAACTTGAATTATAAAAGTTTTAATTGACCTCAAAAATTATAATTTTTTTTATCTTAAACAAACCTAAAACCTTGTATTATAATCCACAAAATTTGTAAAATTTGTCAGTACGGCACCAAAATTTTTGTTCTATACTGTAATCAAACTCCATAAGTATATACATATATTTGGTTAGATGGTGTCATAATCATCAGCATTCCAGGTGAACCTAGAAAGTTCAGACAGAACCAAACCCACCCAATTACTTGAAAGAGAAAAATGTAGGTGCATCATGTACGAGGGCCAATAATGAGGAATGACTGTTTGATTTTTCACAGAAAAGGAACTCGTGCTCCTACTTTATTTATCCTTTTAATGCATGCCCTTTTCCAATTTCTTTTGAAAAGAGTTCAGCAAAAGAGGACGAGGTATCCAGGCTACGTACTTAGATATAAAGTTCATTAAGATCACTGGTGACATCTCCTAACCTGGTTTATTATTTGACTTATTGATTCATTCATTGACATATTCGAATAAAAAAGTTTTAGTCTTGCAATTGAAAAATAATGCTATGAAATCATGCCATCGAACAAAAATGGATTAGAGTATTAAGCTAGATTAGTAGAGTCTAATAACATTACACATATAAGCCACAATCAGAAAAGTATAAAATCAATTACCATAGAGATCTTGAGTTTGAAAATCTTGATTTACCTGAAATGCATAATTTGTGGTAATTCAATATTTTTAGTGTGGTTAGAGCGATTATTTGTAATATCAAATAGGAAATAGAACAAAATATTATAATGTTAAATGTGTACTAGGCACCCATGGGGGTCTATTTTTGGTAGCTTAGCTTGCCTAACTTGATAGAAACCTAAAGTAGCCAAGTCAAAAGTGATACAACTTGAAACATATGCATGTTTTTTTACTTAGATATGATCGATTATCAAATTTAATTTGTTGGTCTAATTTAATGTTGTTAGAGGATTGACTTTGTTACCATTGTTGATCCAAACATGTGTAATGACAAATCAAGTCAAATAATTAAATCCAAATAATACTATTATATTTTTTAAACCCTTCATGTGCATGTTGCTATATTTTTTTCCATAACTATGATTAAAATTAAACAGTTTAAAACTCATTTTAATAGCTGAGAAGGACAACTAAACTGTTGTGCTGTGAGCAATGATATAAATATTTTTCAACTTTCGGACGTAAACTTGTCTCCATTAAAGAAAACATGAAAGCCATGAAAATAATGATCCACTGATCAAATAGATCCATGTCAATTCATGCATGGGTGAGTCAAGCTATCATACCCTATTTTTTATTTTTTATTTTTGGGTAAGTAAATAGTTTTATCCCAAAAAACAGTATTACTACAAGACAATGCTCTTCAAAGAAATCATAACCAATGTTCTTCAAAGTCAAGATAATAAGCTTATGTTATCTCCATTTTACTTTTCAGTGTAATATTGAAAAATAATTTTTATTCTTAAATCTTAGTTTGTATTATTAATAACCATTGATCGTAAAAATTATAAAATAAATAAAATTGTAAAATAATATTTTTTCAGCATCACCTTATTATTAAACAAAAAAATAGAGATATGAAACCGAAAAATTATTTTTTTGATACCAAAGTCTACCCCCAACAAAAAGATGAAAGATTCTTTTGGTGAATTTCATTCGCCTTTTCTGCTTCAAGAACCCTCGCCAATGTCCCATATAAGGGTATACACACACACACACACACACATATATATAAGCCTAGGAACTGCTTAGTGTATATATATATATATATATATATAGCATCTCTCTTTTGGTACATTTCTCTTCTTTTCAATCTTTGAACCCCACAAGTTTTTGGGGGTTTGTGTATTTTCTCAAACATAATTCTACTTTCTAGAACCCTAAATTATTGAGAAAGCTAAAGAGAAACTTTTGGGTGAATCTTCCTGTATGAGTAATTGAGTATGATCCACCACACATATCAGACACCAAAATCTTGAATCCCACAAACCCCATCTCTCATTATTAGACACGATTTTCTCAAGCTGTAAATTAAGATGTGTTTGTGCGAGAAATCCAATCCCCAGGACCCCATTACACAGCTGTGAACCTTTTGAATGCTCTTCCAAACACAAAGTGAAATGATCCGTCTCTTCACCTCTTCTTTCTGCGTTTGTCTTCTTATTACAACTACTTTTTTTTTTTTTTTTTGTAGTGATTTTCGATTGTTTTCTTAGTTTTTATCTTCTTTTTTTATCCTTTTTACTTTTTTGTTCCCGTAAGTAATAGAGTTTATTTTGAAAAAAATTAAATATACAATAAAGTTCAATAGCCGTCTTAAGCCTAAACAGAACCTGCTCGTAAAAGAGTTGCTCCCGGCATACCCTCTTCCTCAACATAATCCTGGCAAAAACACTAATTCTTTAACAACCAGAGATATTAAGTAAAACTATTAAGAAGTTTTTATCTTCATAAGCCTTGGTTTGATCTTTTTTCTTAGTAGAGAAGGTGGACTAGACTGACATCAATTGCTTACTAAGAATCACTTTCACTCCTTTGATTAAATGAAATAAGAAATATTCTTCACCATCATCACAATAAACAAACAAACTGAGAATAGACCACAAACAATATTATTTGGGGTGGTTTGGAAGTTGAAGACCTTTGAACTTACCAGCCAAGCTTCTCTCTGAAGTTCTTTTGCATTTAATTACTAATTGTATAGTGTTTCTCAATTGAATATCTCCACTTGAGAGAATTTTGTCTTTTCTTCCTAGAAAAGCTAAAGAGAAAAGGTTGAACATATGGATAAGAGGCACACTGTCATCTATAAAAATAGAAAAAAAAATTGTGACAATTGGGGTTGAGTCCTCTTTTAAGAGACTTAAAATGAATTTAGTTCGTCAAAAAAATTTATTTGAGAGTAAATTTGTTTTTAATCTTACTAATAAATAATTAAGTCCCACTATTTTTTTAAAACTTCAAAATACCCTACTAATGACTCAAAAACAATTTTCAATATTTTCACGGTTAATGAAAGATTTTTTTTCATAAAATTTAAAATTCAAATTTAAATTTGACAACACTATTATTTTTCTCTCTCTCATCTAGGTTACGAGAACCAATATGACATAATCCTTGTTTTTGCCTTTCTCCATTGTGTTTTCATGGAAGAGTTGAGTAAC